ACCATTCTATGATTCTATGATTCTATAATGCAGAGGTGTGAGAATTAATGGAGAACTAACCCGTCCACCCAGAGCCACAAGCAAAGCAACTGCCATCAAGGGTACAGCCCTTATTCCCTGCTACATCAGTCCTACACCAGGCTGATATGACTGGACTGACTTAGACAACTGCAGCCTATAAAACCCACCTGAACTCTATGACACATGGACCTACTTTCTTCAGTTCCACTGCCACAAAAACCCCTGCACCACCCCAGCTGCTACAGAGTAAACATACTCTGTGACATGAAGTAAAAGTATGTCCAAATAATTATTTGACAATTTCAGAGAAATTTTAATAACCAAAAGAACTAACTGTATCTCCAAGCCCCACAGATACAGCTAATGGCAACTGCAGTCTGTAGTCCTGCTAGTCATTTTGTTCCGAGTTCCACCTCTCAAACTGCACTTATGAATAAACCCTTCTATTTCAGAAATGAACAGATTCCAGTGTAAGGTGATGCTGAAAACCTGCCATACAGGGTCTGTCTTACTTCCTGTGACTCAATACATTGTCAAAGATGTTTTGGCAATGGTCAAGTCTTCATCAACGAAGGGAAAAAAAAAAAAACCCAAACTTTAAGACTATTTTTAATTTTTAAAAATCTCCAAAATTTTAATGAAAGAAGCAACTACTTCTGAAGAAAAACACAGACCGTAAGAGAGTATTTTCAAAGCTTGTAATGGACCATAATTCAGTAAAAATACACTAAAACTGAGACACAGAATCACAGAATATCTCAAGTTGGAAGGGACCCATAAGGATCATCCAGTCCAACTCCCAGCTCCTTACAGGAGCATACCTGTAAGTAACTTTTCTTAATTGTAAAAGATTTCAGATTGCTTTTAAATAATCTTAAATTTTTAATTATGACAATAAATAGGAACATTCAGTGCAGGGTTAAGAAACTGTACAGAGCAAGTACATATGAAAGCTGTTGCTTTTCAGCAATGTATCTGATGAATCTCCTGTGACCCAAGGCTTCAGATTTCAATTTTTGGCACTGGATTCCAACAAGTCTTTTGCTTCATTTATTTTTGTTGCTAAGTATGGTGATCCACCTGAGAAGAAAAAGGGGAAAGGAACACCATTTACACATTAGTATTAAGAACCAAACTACTTCACTTGCAGCATTCCCTTTATTACTTATTAGCTCCTCCTTTCTAAATTGATCCTTTTCACACAACTGCTTAAAAATTTACACTTTAAGAACCAAACTACTTCACTTGCAGCATTCTTTTTACTTATTAGCTCCTCCTTTCTAAATAGATCCTTTTCACACTTAAAATATACTTAAATTATACTTAAATATGCTTAAAAATATACAGATATGAAGTAAACCAATTGATAAGGAAACATGAGAAATATAATCAAAACTGAAGTCACTGAAGAGTAACACTGAACAATTTGTTTCAGAGAGAAGACTGAAATCTGAAAGCACTTTACATCAGTGTGATTTAGACTTCCAGTGCAGTGCTGCTGCAAATGTATGCGAGGTCAGCTGTCTTGAACATTTATCTAAAGCTAATAGCTACTATTTCCACTCACTCCAAAAACTAAGAGGTAAAATTTTATAAATAATTTTGACAAAGAACCACTAAATGTGTGCACACGCACACACACACTCCAAGCCTCCCCTGTGCTAGACGCCCAGAATTACCAGCCAGAAACCATCACATTAAAGCTATTTAAACATGGTATGCCTTCTAACTTCTAGTCTTGAACACTGTCATTGCTTTACGCTCCATCTAACAATCCGATTACAGTTCAGCGGTCTTTTTGTGCTTGTTTTTTTTTACTCTCCCCTTGAGTGCCAACCATCTGCCTACAGTCACCAAAAACAACATTACATGGTCTGTATCAGTAACTTACCACTTGGTATAATACACCTATATTTTTGTTACATGTGATTCCAGCAGCACTGTGCACCGAACAGCCTTTTCCAAGGCAGCTGTTCAATCACATTTTTTCATTCATCATTTCATTCATTGTATTCTATTCATCAGAAAAGATAATGACAGAAGAAACACGCAGAACTAGTTGTAGACACATGTATATAAAAACAAAGCGGCAAGGTTTGCTTAAAGACTTCCTGAGGACATTCCTGCAGGAATCCAAATCATTATAAAGTCACGTCATGGTGTAATAAAACAAATGGAAAAATTAATGGAGTTCTCTTGTTCCTCTTTTGGTTTTGTTTGAATGTAGCCCTAACAGGTAAGACAAACTGGAGGAAAATGAGGCAGGGTAGGGGAAGGGTAGAGAAATAGCTACTAGAAAATGAAATTATTTTTTTTCTTTTTTTAAACCAATTCGCTTTATAGCCAGGAATAGATTTTACCACATTGAGCATTGCTTCCTTCAAAGAGTAGACAAGAGGATCAAAGAAACAATAAAGCCTAAAAACTGCAATAAACAATGTATCCCAAGTAATTTTTAAACGTGTATTGATTTTCTACATGTCTAGAGTGCAGTATCTTAAAGTAAATTCAAATCTGCTACAAGTGTTTTCACTACATTTACATCTTTAAGTGCCATATTAATTCTGTAGCCCTCCAATTAGAGAAAATTCAATCTCACATTTGCCTAAGTGTTTGTTTATAATTAGGGCAAATCCAAAAGGTTTCTCTCTTCCTCTTTTTCTGTGAACAAGTATTCTTTCATAAAATTAGTAACTGATTAATTAGCATACAATGTATCAATACAAAAACACTTCTAAACTGAACTTTGAAAAGGTTAATAAACAACCATTTGGGGATGTTATTATGCAAACTTCTCCATAGTTCTTATTTATTTATTTCTGATAATTCTCTCTTCAACACTTGGGATCTCAGATAACATATGTAACTTTAAAAATACGTAATTATTGCCCTTTCTTCTATCAACTCCATCTGGTAAAATATTATTTTAAAATAACATTCTAATCCTGAATATTATTTTTAAAGGCATGCCTGTGATACCCACAGTAAGAAGAAATCAGGACATATACATAAGCAAACAAGTCTCTCTGTGATGCCACATGTTCAAGACTACTCCAGGCCCTAGCTCTGCAGCTGATTAGACAAGATTTTTTTCTACAGCCATGCCAGAAGAGCTGCAGGGGCAGCACAGAGGCACAAATCCCTTCAACTGGTGTTCCTACAGAGAAAATGCTCCATCTTAATAGCACACAGGAGGGCTCACTACATCCATCCAAACCTACACTGTGCCCAGCTGCAGGTGCATTACAGCTGTAAGAGTGGGTCGTTAAAATGTACGATCTTCATAAAGGGAACTGCATCTTTAGGTCTTCTCAACATCCACACAGAGATTCATGGTTCTGGCTCTTGTCTCTTAAGTACTGCTACAATAAACCTAGAAGTTTGTTATAAAAAAAGTTTTGACCTAGTAAGTACTCTAATGGTTAAGAGGCCTCTGACCATCATAATATACTAGAAATGCAGAAGATAATTTCTCTTCTATGTTTGTGCAGCTTACACATTAAAAAAGTGTAAAAAATGAAAATTTAAAATCAAACACACAGGGCATCTTTAGAATTAAACTGAAGGGTGAAGTCAGCAAAGAAAAGCATCAGCTAAACACTTCCCATGGCCAGTAGCCACAGTTACTTTTTCCTTTTCTTAAAATGGGGCACTGGCAGGGAGCTCTGCAATTCTGTCAAAAAGATATAAAACCCCTACGATTTCCCCTTTTGACTTCTGAAATACAGTGCAACTCTTCACCATCTGTTATTTTAAAGTAGAAACAGCAATGAACATATGGGCTTTCTTTCTCAACCAGCTGTAGTGTAGTTAAAGTTATAATAATAGCCTTTCTGTAAGATAAATTTACATTAAAAACCTGGCCAGTAAAGCAACAGTGCCCAACTTTACATTTTTTTTTTTTTTCAAAGTGAATTCCAGGAAGTCTGAAATTCATCAGTGATGTACTTAGTGACTGCAGAACATTTCCCCACAAAGAGTTACTTTAATACATGCGACTGGTCCACCTCAGTTCAAAACAGGAATGTCAGTTTAATGTAAAAATATTATAGATATTTTTTTCTTATTTTTGAATACATTTTTTTAAAGTGTGGAAGACTGGTCCCTGAGCTCATAGTTTTAACTGAAGCAGCAGAAGTCTAGAAAACAACATTAAAGAAAGACGGGTAAAACCACGGTTCATAAAGCCCAGTTTATTTGAGAGAAGACACACAGAAGCTCAAGTCTATAAATAAACAACATACATTTGCACTCAGCGTGGTTATTTACACTATCAGTAAACTTAAAGGATCTCATTTAAGCCTTTTCCTTTCCAGCTCTGGTTAAGAAAAATAATAATCATTTACCTTTATCAGGATGATTCAAAATCATGATTCTTCTATGGGCTGTTCTGATTTTGGCCTTGCCAGCAGACGGACTGCAAAAATAAATTGAAGTGCTTACCATAAATGCCACTGCGCTCAGGCTATAAATTAACAGTTTATACTGGCTTCAAAAATAATTATAACTTGAGATTTTCACCATCTTGTGGACAAAGCAGAAAACTGCATCTCTGACGAAGTAATAAAAAGGCAAGTAAGACACACTGAGAAGGATATCTTTTAAAAGCCTGTGTATTTGACACATAACAAATTATCTTTCAGATTTAAAAAAAAAAAAACCACAATAAATCCATTAATTTAAAATCAACAATTTTGGGGGGAAAAAGAAAAGAGAAGAAAAAACCCCCAGCAGCTCTGGAGTGTATCTAGCTGGTTATTCTTATCAGTAAACACAGAAAACACATTTTTTTCCTCTTAGAAAATACATATTTATATGACCAGTAACAAAACAACAAATATTTAATATTATCACATTTTGTTCTACTGTAAATATTTTTATAGCTGCTATAAATAATTCTTCTTTCTGCTGCAGCCTGAAAAATACCTTGTATTTGTTATTTTTGCAAAGCTGTTCAATGTGTTGCATTCAGGGACATGCTGATTTACAAGTCCTACATAATGCTGTTTCCTTCAATGCCAGATACATAAAATACGTACTTGGTCTAAATTAAATATGTACCTTACCAGACAAATAACCACTTATGGATGCAGTATGCCAAGACAATAAGGCTATCGTAAGCAAAAGGACAGTTCGAATGGTTTAAGATTTTCAGAATTTATTAGTATGCAGAAATGAAGCAGTGTTTTCCACTTCAGGTGACTTCTTAATCAGTGATGATTCAATCAATTAATCTTTTTGTAGATACAGTCTGAATGCAAGGTATCAGCCTAACTACATTCCCAAGGTAAACAACCTCTAATTATTATTCTGTCACAGGGAAATTGAGGTATGTTGCAAAAAGAGTTCATAGAACTGCATAAGGAAAGAATACTTCAGTGAAACAGAAAGTAAGAATTAAACAGAGGGTGGAAGGCCCTTAACTATATAATGCAAAAATGAAACTATTTGTTATCAGAGAGCTAAAATAACAATCATCTATATTTTCATTTGTAAAGCTGTTGTTTTAATAATAAAAAGGAAAGTTGGTATACCACATTTAGAAACACAGATAGCCAAAGCATAACTGTGGAAAAGTTGCAGTTGCATATTATGGAAAATCCTGCAGTTCTGCTCCAAGAAGCAACTGTGAAAATAGTGTTTTACATCAAATTTGCAAATATTTTATGAGATACTACTTATCCCACGGCCAGATTAGTCTCTAAAGATTCTTAATCACTATCAAAAAAACCTTTAATGTCAAAACCATATTTTTGTTGCACTGGTACAGCCTCACAACCTGAGTCACACCAACGTCATGCTGCCTTCTAACATCACCAACTCAGGGAGAAGTCTATCACCTTGGTGGGAACAGTCGATATGCTGGCAGGACTGACATTCTGGGGGACCTGGAGAAGCTGCAGGAACAGGATGACAAGAATCCTTCACGAAATTCAACAAGGACAGACACAGAGCCCAGCGCCTGGGAAGGAAGAGCCCCTTGCTGCACAACTGCTGCATCCGGTTTTGGGACCCCTGTACAAAAGAAGACATTGTCCAACCACAGTAGGTCCAGCAAAGGCCACCAAAACAGTTGGGGGTTGGAGCACTCACCCTTTGAGAAGAGGCTGAGGGAGTGGGGCTCATTCACCCTGAAGAAGAGAGGGCTGCTAGGGGACCTCACTGCAACACCCCAGCATCTACAGGGAGCTCATAAATAATGTGGGTCCAGGCTCTCCACAGTCATGCATGGTGGGAAGGTGAGAAAAAAATGGGTACAAATTGAAATGGAAAGTGTGGGCTGGACATAATACTTTTTCATTCCAAAGACAGTCCAGCAGTGACAGAGGTTGCCCGGAGAGGATGTGCATTCTCCATCCTTGCGAGTTTTTCAAGACCTGCTGGATAAAGACCTGAGCAACCTGCTCTGACCCCACTGGTGGCTCTGCTTTGAGCAGCAGGTAGGAGTAGAGACCTCTTGAGATCCCTCCCAACTTGACTGGTCTTATGACCATATGATATACCTGTGCACTAAGATGCGTTTAAAAATAAAATAAAATATTTTTTTTTAAAAAGAAACCAAAACAAAAAAACCCCCAGAGCCAGGATGATTAAACCTTAAATACGTTTGGTTTTGTACACTTATACAACATACTATGTATTTTTTTAGTGTAATAACCTCTTTTTTTTTTTTTGTCACAGAATCATACAATCATAGAATGGTTTGGGTTGGAAGTGACCTTAAAGATCATCTAGTTCCAAACCCCCTGCTGTGAACAGGGTTGCCAACCACTAGATCAGGCTGCCCAGGGCCCAATCCAACTTGGCCTTAAATGCCTCCAGGGAGGGGGCAGCCACAACTTCTCTGGGCAACCTGTGCCTCACCACCCTCTGGGTTAAATTTTTCCTCCTAATATCTAACTTAAACTCCCCTCTCTTATGTAATCATGTTTTAAGAATAATGATTTAAACATTTTTAACTACTGCATATAAATATTTTGTACATTAACAAACAATGAAGTTATTTCCTATGGAAAGAAAAAGTATGCGTCTGGTTTCATAGAGTAAATGGTACAATACAGAAATTTTTATTAATTTTTATCTAGAATTTTAACTTATGATTTTCAGACATATTTGCTAACTTCAGAAGTTCAGTGTTACGGATCCCTGTTAAAAAAGACAGGGATCTTCTAGAGAGTCCAGCGGAGGGCCACAAAGATGATGAGGGGCCTGGAACATCTCCCATATGAGGAGAGGCTGAGAGCTGAGACTCTTCAGCCTGGAGAAGAGAAGACTGAGAGGGGATCTTATCAGTGTCTATAAATATCTGAAGTGTGGGGCCCAAATGGATGGGGCCAGGTTCTTTTCAGTAGTGCCCAGTGACAGGACAAGGGGGAATGGGCAAAAACTGGAACACTGAAAGTTCCAGACAAACCTAAGGAAAAACTTCTTTACTGTGAGGGTGCCAGAGCACTGGGACAGGCTGCCCAGGGAGGCTGTGGAGTCTCCATCTCTGGAGATGTTCAAAACCCACCTGGACACTTTCCTGTGCAACCTGATGTAGGGAACCTGCTTTGGCAGAGGGGTTGGACTAGGTGATCTCCCGAGGTCCCCTCCAACCCCTGTGATTCTCTGATTCTGTGATTTGATAGTTGTAAACCATTGTACTTGAGACAGTTAAATTTTGCTAGCATCTATTTTGTCTCATGTTTGGAAATCACTCCTAACATTTTCATCTCCCATGTCATCTCAAACATTCCCCCATCTCTCCCATCAGCAGTTCCTTCTACAGAGCACATAGTTGTTATTATTACTGCTATGTTTATACTGAATTTCAGTAATTGGTGCTGCTTCAAAACAACTAGTGCAAGAACGCCAAAACTTCAAATTAGTCAGTATTTCCAACACAGTACTTTGTAGCTTTGTGTTTAAACTATGTAAACCTTTTACATAGTTTAAACACAAGTAATGCACATGCATGTTTCTACCAAAACCCCTGCAATCTTACGGGATGGTTATTAGATAACATTTGGCAAGTGTAATGGACCAATATATTTGAAATTTAAAAGCTACCATTAAATGCTCACCTTTACCATGGCTTGTATTTATTATTTATACTGCCAATGCATACTCAGCGCTTGAAATAATGAAGAAAGTCTTTGCCTCAAAATTTAATATGACTTAGAAGTGATGACACAGAGGACAGGTGTTAACGATAATAAGATAAAGGCCTAGACAGATCTAGTTTGTGCATTTGTCCACACCCTGCCATTTTCCATAGAACTTTAACACTTGCTTTTTTCTGTGGCATTTTTAAGTATGTAATACAGCAAACAGTGAGTTAAAACTGGTCTAGAAAAGTGTGTTTAAACACTGTGAAAATTCCCTATAAAGATGTTAGCCATGTTTCTATACAACTAAAGGCTCAATCCTTTAACCATGAAGAACTTCTTTCCTCAAATGTGACTATCTTGATATTTGCCAGACTCAATCCAAACACAACAAACAGCGTCACTGTTCCCCGTGAAGAGTCAAGTTATTAAAGGGGACTGATTTCAGATGTGATGAAACTTCAGACATGTACATGAGCAGTGTTCAGGCTCGGCACTGCCACTGTAAACACACCTTAATGAGCTGCCATGTGCTACTCTGGAATATCACTAAATTTGCCCTTATAAAGTGAAAAGGTTACATTATCAAACTTCAAGACCAAAGGAAATATTTCTGAAGAGCGTTCCTATAAATCTCTTACACAGTGTGCAAGCATGAAATATTTCAAATAAATGTAATGTTTTACTTTACAGTTTCTTAAAATGAATGCTAAACCTGCATAATTTCCATTATGTTAGAAGTAAACACAATTATCACACTGAACAGGACTTTAAGTCCCAGTTTTCACCATCTGAAATATTTTCTTCTGGGTATAATTAAAACCATCCTCCTTTCTTAATTTTTTTTTTCTTTTTAAAAAACTTAAAATTCAGAACTGATCGAAACCATAAGTAAGAAATCTACTACCTAAGGTCAGATCTGCTCCTCTCATCTAGAAAGACCTCAAACTCACCGCCTGCTTTACAGAAGACACCGAGGTGTGTGTTACCATTGGACATCCATGTTTTTGAAAAAATCCACTGAAAAATCTATTGAATACTCAGCCTGGAAATAATTTCCCATACCTACTCTAAATGACAAGTCCCTCCAAGTATTTTTGTTTGGAATACGACACAACTTTTTAAATCCAAATAAATCAGAGTGGAGAAAGACAAAAATAATACTGACTTATGAAAAAAATTAGCAAAATTGATTTATTTTCCTTGTTTATTAATATAATCTACAATATTACTTACCTCAAGGGGTTTTTTGGAGACCAGGCCATGTGATCACACTAATTAGCACAGTATGCGCTATTCTGATTATTTCTAGAGCAGCAATTCTCCACTGCAGTATGTTACCATGCCTTCAAGCCAAACACAAGTTGCATGTTTTATTAGCATTTTATTGTTTGCTTTTTAGCTTAAGCAGAATATTAGAATGGCTTATAAGCCATTAGAAGTCTTTAAAAAAAAAAGTAATGATTTTGGTAAGAGTACTGCCCTTCTCACAACATGCATTTTCTTCATTCAGTATTTACCAAACGAAAACATGCTAATGGAACATACCCACCTTACACCTAAAATAAGACTAGCTTCTCGCCTGCTCATTTTCTGTTCAAATCCTCCTTTGTAGTACAATGAGAGACTCTAAAAAAAAGAAAGGGAAAACAGGCAAGAATTAGTTTCATGAACAAGGTGCCAGGACCTAAGTCCTATTTATATGACCTCATTCAGAGCATTACATTCATCTATAATTCATTTCAAAGGCATGGAATGACTACAAACCAGATAATATGAAAGGACTTCGGAGTGTTAACACATACAAAAACTGACTTAAAAATAACTAGATGTGTTTTTACAATCTTCTACTGCTACTAAGAGATATTAATAGCTACAACCATTGTCTTCAGGCAAAAGATTCAGAAACAAAGTACATACTAGTATCAAGTGGTATATTGGGAAGGGCAGGGGAGGGACAGGTGGAAACTTATTTAGAAAAGCTTTTGTACTACTGCAGTGAAATGGCAAAAGTCACAATACTTTGGCATCCAAAGAATTATGGACAATCACTCTGAAGTCCAGATTTCTACAAAGAAAGTAGGTAAAAACAATAATAAAAGGGTAAGAACAGATAAATACACCGATGAAGAGTCAGTATGTTTTTTCACATGAAGGAATACTTTAAAAAATATATCAGGACTTCTTTGAAGGAAGCCTGAAAATTAAACAAAAAGAAACAAAGAGACAAAAGGCTTAGCATAAAACCACAACCTCTATTTCAGGAAATCACTGAGCTGGAGAAAACTGGAAAGTAGCAGAATATATGGGGAAATCCTAACCAACTTTTGCTTTTACTTCTTCCCCTAGACACTGATGACAATTAGATACAGGATCTGGGGTGAGGTTTTTTTAAACTCATTGGTATGTGAGTTAAGAAGGGGAGAACATACACAAGTGGAAAAAAAACATTAGAAAGAAGGAGATGGAGATGAGAGTAAATCATTACAATTAATTGTCATAGGGAATAGGTTTAAAGTATATTTTTCAACCATAAATATATTTTCAATTAAAAAAAAAAAAAAAGTTACTGAACCACAACTAAGGGTTAGCAGTGATCTCCTCACTGTAGATGTTTCTATAAGAAGACTTAAGGACTAGTCCATTGCTACACAAATAATAATCTAAGCTGCACAAGTCCCAGAGGCAGCAGATGCAGCTCCAAGACAGCATGCCTTTGGGAACTGGCACACAGAAATCACTCAGCAAGACTGAAGTTTTTTCCTCAATGCAAAATCTATCAACTGGGGAAAAATAAGCTTCTTTTGCTGCTATCAAAGGGAAGTCTGTCCTGAGAGCTGAGATTATTTACCTCCAAGTAAAAATGTGCCTGGCTCTTAATAAAACACTTTTCTCACTAAATATATCCATTCACATTCAGTGAGAATTTTACCTTATGTTTACACAAACTCTTTCTTATGTAATTTCAAAAGCATTAAAGCATTTAAAGGGTTTTGTCTATGGTATCCAAGCAAAGCCTTTAATTAAGCTTAGGAGTGACATTCAGCCAAAAGCATGGTTCAGAAATACTTCACCTATTGCTACCATGAAGTCATGCACAACCACAGAAAAGATATTATGGTGTGCTACTATGATCTGAAATTAATTTTATCTTCCTTCCTCCCACCCCAAACCATACATGAAATAACCACTACTGTAACACTACAGGTATCAAAGCTGAAGCAACTGTGGACACGCCATGCCTACAACAAAAATCTCTTGAGAAATCGCTGCTATAGCTACACAGTAAAACACACACACACAGAATCACAGAATGTCAGGGACTGGAAGGGACCTCGAAAGATCAGCTAGTCCAACCCCCCCGTAAGAGCAGGAACCTAAATGAGATCACACAGGAAGGTGTCCAGGCGGGTCTTGAATGTCTCCAGAGAAGGAGACTCCACAACCTCTCTGGGCAGCCTGTTCCAGTGCTCTGACACCCTCACTGTAAAGAAGTTTCTTCTCAAGTTTAAGTGGAACCTCCTGTGTTCCAACTTACACCCACTGCCCCTTGTCCTATCACTGGACAACACAAAACAGGTCTCTAATAGTGCACACTGACATTAGAGGTTAGACTGCGTAACACTAAGGGAACAAACAAGGCTTGTCCAGTCCTCCAAGACAAAATGATGCTGATGATTTAATGGCTACCAGATAACAGCCTTGAGGAGGTAGAACTGCACAGAAATTTGCAATGATGCTGAGCAATTATTACAGCCAGCAGAGAAAAGCACACTAATATCCTCTGAAATATTTTCCAGAACTTCTCCCAAAGCAGATTAGGTACAGATGGATTTCTGAAAAGGTTAATTCTTCTCTGCCCTTCAATTCTAGCATACAATTCTAATGCAGGAGGACACTGGTTCACTATTTAGGTAGAGAAGAGCAATATTTGAATTAATCTATAACACAGCTAGTCTCTGTTCTTGGCAGATTTAATCTAAAATACTATTTGAAATAAGAGAATAGGAGGGATGGCTACAGGCTTAAACTCAGAAATACTTTTTCAACTTTTTAAAGCCTTGTTCCTTGACACTGTTCTAACCTTGGGAAGCCTTGATTTGGTTCACTTCCAAAAGGAATGAAAAAAGAAATGCTGTTGTCTGTTCCTTTGACACATAAGCAAAAAAAGTTTCTGAAATTAATTAATTGCTGGTGGCCTTTTATGATAGGGTAACAACATTGGTGGATAAGGCTAAAGC